CTCGGCCTCGTCATTTTTTTGACGACCTCGTCGGGGATTTCCGAGTCCCCCGTACCCGGGTCTTACGTCTCCCCGAAAGGACAACGGCGACCAGAGATTCCAGGACTACATCCTCGAGGAGATGGCGGCGCTGAAGAATGGCCTGGTGGTCGAGACGCAGTCGCGAGAGGCCGCGGACGACGACATAGTCAACGCACTCAACCATTACACCAAGGCCATACAGGATGCCCTCCGAGTGGTGAACCAAGCCTGAGGTCCTGCCTCCGTTGCTAGATGCCGCATACCAGTTGGGTGCTACCAAAGGTGTCCCTGGCCCAAGGTACCTTGGGCCAGGGAATCCCGGGGACACGTGTCCCCAGGATTCCCGAGGAGGCCAAGACGACCTCCAGAGTTCCCCTCACGAGGCCCAGAGGGCCCCAGGGTCTCCCAAATGGCTCGGAAAGCTGGGGACGTCTTGGGCCAGGACCACTTCTAGCAACACGCGACCCTTCTGGCCATGGTCTGGCCATCGCGCGCTCGTGGCCGCCCGGAGAAGGAGGAGCAGGATGGAGGCGGCGGTGGTGGCGGTGGGAGGAGGCGAGGTTCGGCTGCCACTCCTGGGAGGTCTATTTCAACATAGGCGCTGGTACTTAGATCTAAATCTGGCATGCCCCTCTACAGGAGGAGTATCAAATAATAGTGTAGTATGGTGACGATGTTCGTGCTGTTTAGACTTTTTTCTCTTCTAATTTTCATGATTCTTTCCAAATCCGCCCGTAGGAGGACATGCCCGACCTAAATTTAGATCCGTGGTCGAAATCAGTCCAATCCGAGGCTCTCGCTCATCTTCGTTCCCTCCCGCTTGACTCCGCCCCAGTCCGGTCCCAAGTCCAGACCCGGGGCTGACGCTTGGCGTCGGAGAGATGGCGTGCGATGTGGCGCCCCTGGCCAGCTCTTTGTTACATATATACATATACACACAAACAAATATATATATATATATATATACACATGATGAACTTGTTGTTTATTTATGTATATGTGCATATATATATATATATATCTCTGTGTGTGTTACAAACAACCTACACATACAACTCTATACACATGATGAATGTATTGTTTATTCATTTGCATATCTATGTATACATATATATGTGGGTGTGTTGAAACATATGTATCTCTCTCTATATATATATATATATATATATATATATATCTATATATGTATATCTGTGTGGTAGATTTGTTTATTTATTTGTATATATATACACTTATCTTTTCACTCATATATCTCTCTATCTCTGTCTGTGTGTGTGTTTGTGTGTGTGTGTGTGTGTGTGTGTGTTAAAAACAGCCTAGCAGCACCTCTTTTTGTTGGCAGGCGTCGGCGACCGCAGGCACGCCCGGGCAGCGCCCGCGGCCCGCACCCCCGGGGGCACGGGGTGCGCCCGGGGCATGCGGCCAGAGCAGCACGGCCGCGGAGGCGGAGCCCAGGCCTCCTCCTCCTCCCTCCTCCTCCCCCTCCTCCCCCTCCTCCTCCTCCTCCTCCTCCTCCTCCTCCTCCCTCCTCCTCTCCTCCTCCTCCTCCTCCTCCTCCCCCCCCCCCCCCTCCTCCTCCTCCTCCTCCTCCTCCTCCTCCTCCTCCTCCTCCTCCTCCTCCTCCTCCTCCTCCTCCTCCTCCTCCTCCTCCTCCTCCCCCCCTCCTCCTCCCCCTCCTCCTCCCTTCTCGCGCCTTCGGGGGAAGACCGAGCAAACTTCTCTCGCGCAGGCCTGGAGGTTGACACCAACACCAAGATCGGCGGGGTGCCTCCACCGAGGGAAGACGATCCCGATCTCGGTGGTGGTGGTGATATTCTGGTTTCCAGGGTGACCGAAATATATTACCACCAACACCGAAACCCAGGATCATTTTCCCCATGTGGATGCAATCCCCTGTTCTGGTGTTGGTGCCAATTTCCAGACCTCCAAAGATGGGGTCGGAGGATCGCGCTTCATCGCCGATGCATCGGCGATGCATCGGCGATGCGGCTCGATGTGAGGCCCGATTTTCTCCACGCTGGCGTCGCCGATGCATCGCCGACGTCGCCAGTGCATGGCCGATGCACCGCCGATGCATCGGCGAGGCATCCCCGATGTATCGGCGATGCCGCGACATCCTCCGATCCCATCTACTCGGACCCCACCCAGGAGGCCTCTACGGCGGGAAGGCTCAGAACGCTTCCCAGAAGTCTTCGGGGAAGGCCTTAGAAAACTTCTCAGAAGTCCGGGGGACTTCCGAGCCTTCTGAGAAGGTACGCCCCTTCTCACTTCCCCCCCTCGCTCGCCGCCTAGAGTGGGCCTGGCCGCCCAGAGCCGACGGAGGAAAGGGGCGCGCGCCGGCGGCCTCGGGCAGCGGCAGCCGGTGTGGAGAGTTTAGGGCGGGCACGTCCATCCACGGGAGGAGTATCCAAAAGAAATCAAAAACACATACAGTCAAAAACCCATAATGAGGACGCGCGGCTTTGCTCAGGGTGCCCTTGCGTCCTTGCTCTTCCTTGCTCTTGCGGCTCGTCCTTGGCCTCTTTCGCTTGCCCGCTTGTCAAGGTACCCACCCTTGCATCCTTGGGGTGTTCGTCGTCCGCCGCCCCCAAAATCCCAACTTCGGCTTCAAGGGTCTTGCGTCCTTGCCGCGCGTCCTTATTAGGGTTTCTGAGTGTAGCCTGGGGGCGATTCTTGTCTATTGTTGACCATGTTTGAGTATTTTGGAGTGTTTGTGATGTTTCGTCCGGAATCCGCCTGTAGGGGGGCATGCCCGACCTATTGTGAAGTAGAGGGCCTGCCCGCTCATCACACGCCATTGCGCCGAAGAAGCCCTGGCAGAGGGGGGGTTAGCGTGCACAGGGACGAGGCGTGCTCCTCGAGGGTCGATGCTGCTGCACGCTGCCTGTCCAACGCCAGTTTCTCTCTTGAGCTGAACCATGGGCTTCAACCTGCCTACTCTGGCGAGGAGGAGGAGGAGGAGGAGGAGGAGGAGGAGGAGGAGGAGGAGGAGGAGGAGGAGGAGGAGGAGGAGGAGGAGGAGGAGGAGGAGGAGGAGGAGGAGGAGGAGGAGGAGGAGGAATGGAGGGAGGGAGGGAGGGAGGGAGGGAGGGAGGGAGGGAGGGAGGGAGGGAGGGAGGGAGGAGGAGGCTCCATTCGACGCCGTGAACGACCTAAGCATACATCTTCGGAGCTCCGCAGGGGTCTCTTGGATCGGCCCTGGGCCCCTCCGGCGCCGCCTCCCGGCGCCGTCCCTGGCGCTGGCGCTCTCCGCGCTCCAGGGAGGGGGGTCCGGCGCGGATCCAAGACATCTGCGCGGACCTCTCAAAGGTCATGCTTACGCAGTTTTTTTTTTTTGTTGTTTTTGTTTTTCTTGTTTTTTTGTTTTTTTGTTCTCCTCTATTCATCCTGCGCTGATCCCAGATTTCAGTCCGGCTACTCCGGCTCAATGGCGCATCGCCGACGTCGACGATGCGTCGCCGGTGCATCCCTGATGCATCGCCGATGCATCGCCGATTCGGCGCGATCCTCCGACCCCATCTACTCCGACCCCATCTAGGAGGCCTCCCTGTGGAGCTGCCTCCTGCGAGGTGGGAGGAGGCCGAGGCGCGAGCGAGCGCCCTCCGGGGGCCGCCCGGGCGGCCGGGGCGCGGCCGCGCCGGCCCTGCACCGCGGGGGCTGGCGCCCGCGGAGGGGCGCGAGAGAACAGGCAGTCGCTCGGCGACGAAAGAAGCGCGTGGACCACGACCAAGTGTTTTTTTTTTTTTTTTTTTTGTGTGTGTGTGTGTGTGTGTTTTGTTGTGTGTGTGTGTGTGTGTGTTTGTTTTTCCCACAGTGTGTACTTTCTTGTGTTTTTTTTGTGTATTTCCCCACGTTTTTTTGTTTGTTTTTGTTTTCTTCCCCCCACAGACCAAGTGTCTCAGAGGAGGAAGGGGACTCTCATACCGCCACCCTTCCCTCGTTTTCCCCGTTCCAGGCTTCCTGGGAGGCCCTCGTCACCACCGCCTGGTTCCCTTCGAAGTTCTGGTCGGAGCGACCCCCGGGAGAGGTCCGGGGAGTGGCGGCATCGGTACTCTTTGGCTTCCCCAATGACCAACTGCCGCAGGATCTTGTCGTCATGGGTCCATGCCGGCCGTCGCTGATCCGCGAGGATGATTCGCGACTTTAACGCTTGCCAATATCGACGGTGATCAAGACTGGCACGCCGCTTCCGCGTTCAGTCTTGGTCATGGTTCGAATCCTTGTCTCCTCTCCTCTCTTGTTCGAATCATGATCTCTCCTCTCCTCTCCTCTCCTCTCCTCTCCTCTCCTCTCCTCTCCTCTCCTCCTCTCCTCTCCTCTCCTCTCTTGTTCGAATCCTTGTCTCCTCTCCTCTCCTCTCCTCTCCTCTCCTCTTCTATCGACGGTGCTCTTCCATTCTTGTTCGAATCATGATTTCTCGGAGGCCCGCGCAGATCTCTTGGATCGGCGTCGGGCCCCGCTGGCGGCGCCTCCAGCGCCGCCCCTGGCGCTGGAGGCGCGCCAGGGAGGGGGTCCAGCGCCGGTCCAGGAAGTCCGCGCGGGCCTCCCAGAGGTCATGCTTGTTTCGTTATGTGCTCCTCTTGGCGTGGGCGCTGACGGCCTCGATGGCCGTTGCAAGGAACAGGGATCACTGTGAGGTACACTACGTCAAGAAAATGGATTGGGGGTTTTGTAGACTTCCAAGGGATGTCGGAAGAAGAGCTTCCTCAGGCGGAGTAATCGTTTTGAATCGGGCACTGTGTTGCCCCACCTCTTTCTCCTCCTCCCCCTCCTCCTCCTGCTGCTCCAGGACGCTGCAGGACGGAC